ACTGTGTTCCTGCTCCTTTAGCCAACCTGGGCTCAAAGTAAGGGGTTTAAATGATTCTAGCCATCTGACTGAGTAGCAGTAAAAAAAAAAAGTACTGTAGGAGGAAATTTCTGGATTACCAGTAAATATTGCAAACTGTTTGTTTTTTTAAAATTTTAATTTTGTTAGTTTACGTTTAATTTCTTCTTGAAGACATAAACAAGATTTTTTCCTCAGGGATCCACCTACACTCCTCCTCTCCGCACCTCTGACCAATCAGGTAAGTGTCTCATCATACCCCCCCTGTTGCTGGGGACAAATTAACCCTTAGCAGGACCCCTCTTGTTTTTCCAAACCCCTGTCATGTAGGCCTTACACAGACGCCTCCGTCTGCTGTTCCAGGCCTGTCTAGAGCGTTTAGATCATCATCATTGTTGTTATTTTTTTATAATGCCAGTGATTAGTTGGAGGGGGGTAATAGGGGGAGCCTGGAGAGCAGCATTGAATGAATGTCTTTTCCTGGTGTATAACGAATAGTAAATTGTAGATTTTTACCAGAGACAACAGAAGGACCTGAGATGATTAATCATGGTTAATGCCTAGCTGAGAGCTAGGCCTTCTTACTTATGTAAACATCATCATAAAATATGAGCTCTTTGCACAGAATCCTGCTCGGCCATATGAGAGTCTTCTGCTTCTTAAGTAGCTCTCAGTTTTATCCATAAATACTTAGCCAAGATGAGGTCTCTTCTGTTGCCCTGCCAGATCTTTAGTAGATAATCTATATATTGGCAAGGAATGGTATGTTGTAGAAGCGCTTGTGTAGGTCATTATTCTATGACAATCTGCTTTTGACCTTGTTTTCTATAGTCGCCTTCTAAATTTTTTAACAAAATCAAAGTTCTTAACATTTGCAGATCTCATCCTGCATTTTCTCACTTTTTTCCTCTGTGGAATGCTATACCAGGTAGAGTTTAAGAAAACTAGGGATGCACCAATACTGTTTTTTCAGTATCAACTATGAGTACCAGAGATGCACCAAAATGAAAATGTTAAAACTGAAACGAAAGCGAAATTTAAAAAAATGGCAGACTGAAACCACATTTTTTTTTTCATTCTATCTTTTAAAATTTTTTTAAACATTTTATTTATTTTTGTTAAATATTTTTTATTATTTTTACTTTACTGTCGGGGGCTCTGGGGAAATATTGGGGGTCTGAACAGACTCCTGATATTTCCCTTTTTAAAATAGAAAAAGGGATTGAGAACACAGAGTCCTCAATCTCTTTTTCTGCATCCCCTGTTATAAATGAACAGAAATCCTCTATACTGAGTGTTCCTGTTCATTCATATCTTGTGGAGATAGTATGTTTACCATGTCCACAATCATGAATGACAGGAAGTGATGTAGATCACTTCCCATTCATTCATAATTGGGGCACAGTAAACATACAATGTCCTCAGTTATTTACAAACACTCAGCGATCATGAAGTGTTTGTACCCGGTCTCCATCCTGACTTGCTATCGCAGGAGGCTGAGCGAGCGGTGAGGGAGGTGAGTTTGATCTCCTCTGACAGCGCCACCGGCCCGGCCTCCTTTGACAGCTGTCTCTGCCCCCACACTGCTCTTCTGATCTGTCACAGGAGGCTGGGGCGTTGCAGGAGGAGAGCTCAGCCACCTGTGACAGATCAGGAGAGTGGTGCAGTGTTGGGGCAGAGGCAGCTGTCAGGGCAGAGGCAGCTACCCCGAGGTAGTGTGGGCCCGGCTTCCGAGCCAGTCAGGGAACCTGGCTTCATGCTTCCTCGCGACCCAGCAAGGCAGCCTGGCTTCCTGACCAATCAGGAAGTCGGACGGCGGGAAGCTAGGCTGCCTCGCAGTGTTGCTAGGCAGCATGAAGCCAGCTTCCTACCCAATCAGGAAGCCTGGCGGCGGGCCATAACCTGCCACTGGGCTTCCTGATTGGTCCGGAAGCCAGACTGCCTCGCAGTGTCGCTAGGCAGCGTGAAGCTGGCTTCCTAGCCAATCAGCCTGATTGGCCGGGAAGCTGGCTCCATGCTTCCTTGCAGCACTGCCAGTCAGAGTGAATCTCCCTCTGACCGGAAGTTCCGGCATCGGGGTAAGTATTGGAGCATTTGGGCGACTAAGAGTACTCGCCCAAGTGCTCAGTATCGGCACAGATACCGATACCAGTATTGGTATTGGTACATACCTAAAGAAAACCATGATGGAGAACCTATGGTCAGCTTTACTACTACCTTATCCTTATTGAACAAATTGTAAAAAAAAAAATCTAGGTGACAAATAGAAAAATGACTTGTCTACCTACTATATATAGGCTTTAGATATACTTTAAAATTACCTTTACACAGATCTAAAAATAACTGTCAAGATTTTACATTTCTTCATCACTACAGATTAGCACAAAGGTGACAGGTCCTCTAAAATCACAGAATAGCCAAATAACAGGTCTATATAGTGATGGATTATCTTCTGTAAACCATTCTATTTTAGAGACAACTGTTTCTAATCAGAGTTTGCTTCCATTTTTCCAGCCGCTTCATTACCAGAAAAGTATGACGGTTTTATGTTATATTTTCTCTGCCAGTTGTGGTCGTGGAAGGGATCACTAAGAAACCGCACGCTAGTGTCCGCACTGCAATCATACTCTATAATGTACAGGAGCAGCAATAGTAATTACTACTAGAATAGGGCTTCTGGTTGTAGTCATTATAGTAAAGAGAGGGTATACTCTTTCCTGAATCGGAAGCTGAGGCTTCATCCTACTAGGCTAATGCCACAGCTATCGTGCAATTATTTGTAGCAATTTGTTTTCCAGACTGTCGGTGGAGTCTAGATTAGCATGTAGGGTAAAATGCCACAAAAGTGGAAGAACTGTTCTGATTAGGAGATTAAAAGGACAAAACGGGACTGCTGGCAGCCATATAGTCTATTGCAAAAGTGTGGAAACAACCAACCATCCCTTTTCAGATGTAAAACAAAGACTGGATACATTTTTGGTAAATAAAAGATTCTTTAGTGTGCTCTAAAAAAAAATCTCAGTGTTTGGTCTCTCGGATTATATATGCACACCCAGAGATGAGACACTGTCACCTTGCCGCACGCCCAGAGATGAGACACTGTCACCTTGCCCATGCAAGGTGACACTGTCTTTGTAAAGGGCGCTCCAAATTCACATATACTTACCTTACCAGAACTCCATAGTTACTTGCCCCTCTGCAATCAGTGGTCACATTAGCTGTTTTGTTGACTCCGGGAAGCAGGGACATTACCTGGGGCATGTGATTGGCCACTAGACTTGGGTGTTGTCACAAGGAAGAAGATCACATGCTCCTTCATACCCTTGCCTACCCACCTTTTTTACCGCCCCCTCACCCTTTCCATGCTTACCTTCACTTTATTTTTCCATACTTGTTTGACCTTCCATCTAGACCCTCCACGCACTATATGCCATGCTTTCGCCTAAATTCACAAACACTTTGTGAAATTATGCGACCTGAAAACCCATACTGCTGATTCAGCTACAAGATGTTATGTTATATGCAGTATTGAATATATTTGCACCTACTGTCCATGCTTATTTTTACTACCTGTTATTGTCCTTTTTACTGTAATTTCTTTATACTTGTCTTGAAAAACTATGGTCAGAACAGAAAAGTACAAATTTCGCAAACTGTAAAGGGTCAGTCCACTGAAAACTGAGGACTATTCCTGCTTGGATGTTGATGAGTTGAAAAACCACAGGCCTTGTACTCCATCAAGCTAATGCCCACTCCCTCAGTATGCTTTGTATAGTCAGCTATAAGGTGCACTGGTAGTCAAGGAACCTGCTGCATGGCCACCAGTCCACAGTTGGTTCCCTGGCTTATATCCGTGACATTCTTGCCAATCAAACTATGCTTTCTCCTTCTTTACAGTTCTACGTTTTGATAAATGACATGCCCCCTGTATGTATTTTCTGACTCTGTGGGACCTCAGTCTGGATCTGCTGGGCCTTCAGAAGCTGTCCTTTGAACCACTTATAAATATCTCTCTGCGCCTTACTCGCAAGGTGCCCTCCTTGGCACCATTACCTCTAATAGGTGAGTTTCTGAATTAGATGTCTTGATGTGCAAGGAGCCTTTTCTGGTCATCCATAAGAATAAGATTGTGCAGAGGCTAAAGACCTCCTACTCACCAAGATGTTCTCTGCCTTCTATCATAACCAGGTCATCGTTTTTCCCTCCTTGTGTCCTGCACCGACACACCCTAAAGAAATTTCCCTCCACTGTTTTGACATGGTACAGGTACTTAAGCGTTTACGTCTCTGGGACAGCTTCCATTCGTCTGGAATTCTCTTCGATTCTTCTGGGCTAGGGGGCACAGTTCTGCTTTCTCAGCAGAAAGTGGACATTAGCCTGCTATCTCATGACTTTGGGTCAGAAGAGTATGTTGGTAAATGCACTCCTGTTACCCAAAAGAAAAGTAAAGAAACAAAACAAAAAAAGTTTAGCTTTGCTTCTCTTTTAAACAAATTCACTAAGCACTTAATGGGCATAATTGAAAGCAAACTTTTGCATGAACATTAGTTTTGTCAAAATCACTCGCTTGTCGCCTCCTGATTCTGCATTTCTCTCCAAAAGGCTAAATCTACAAGCCAACACATCAAAGGGAGTGTCCAGCTTGGTGCTGGATTTTGGTGTGACCGCAAACTGAAACCTAGGAGTTTTCTGGTGTAAATCTGTTTCTTTTCCTCTAAACTTCTAAGCAGCCGTCCATCTCCTGGTCATGTGATTTTGTGCCACCTTCATCTGAGAACGTCAGAAAACTATGCAAAAAATTTTGCACCGTTAATTGTGTTGGGTCCCCTATATTAATAGTTTGGCTTTTCAAACAACAAAAGCATACTTTTCTGTCTGTCACTATTCTTTACCTGTATATTACAATGCTTTATGATTGCCATGTGCCATTTCATGATATTTTAAAGTAATTTAAATATATTTATTTCCTCTCTCCCCCTCAGATGTGGATGAGTGTTTGGATAATAATGGTGGATGTCAACAAATTTGCGTTAATACAATGGGCAGCTACGAATGCCTGTGCAAGGACGGCTTCTTCCTCAGTGACAACCAACATACATGCATCCATCGCTCCAACGGTACGTATATGTAAACACTGATCATGCTCAGTCCTAACTCATTTCCCGTCATACATTGCTTGTTGGAAAAAATGGTCTCCATTTAAGGGACCGATAGTGATTTTTTTTTTTTTTTTGGTGGGGGATGAAGATGCAAAAGTATTCAGCATGTTTATTGCAAACTAAAAATATCACTTTGTTCTCTAGTATAAAGAAGTTTTCATTAATTTGAAGTGATTTATGAATGATTGCTCTGAGTTACTTCACCCTAGCCTAGAACTGTACTTGGAGTAATAATACAAAAAATATATATTTCGGGATCCGCTCCAGGTGCGGCGTCTCAGTATACCGCGAGCTGTAGCTCGCGGTATACTGAGCTTAGGGTAACGGGAGGACGCTAGTTTGTGTCCTCCCGTTACCCTAAGGAGAACTATGGGGAAAAACACTGACCCCATAGTTCTCCTTTTAACCCACTTGAGGCTTTTGAACGTCCTAAAAAACTTAGCAAACATTCTATTTTTTTAAGTCCTAAGTGTTGCAGATAGTCTGCCAGTTGCATTGGGTAAATACAACAATGTGTTTCATTGCATGTATTTTTCATATGTAGATCAAAGGTGCGTGCCCTTTCATCTGCAGATGACATCAGTTAAACAAAAGTTACACGTAAAAAAAAAAACCCTATTTACCCCTTTATTGGTGGGCCCTAATCATCCCTAAGTAACTCCTTCCTTCTCTTAGCTATGATTTTTCTGATGATTTTTATAGATGCGTGGACATTTTTTTAAAGAAAAAATGACTTTTTACCGTTGTAATATTATCTTACGTTAGCGCCAAACAAACAGGCCCATTGTGGAAACTGCTGTGGTCCATAATTGGTATTAAAGTTTGATTTCTGAAGTAGTAAAGGTTCAGCAGCATCTGAGAAGCCAAAACTTACTCTGAAGACCCCAAGTGTGTGCCTGCACTAAATCCAACAATGTCCAAATGCAGCTGTTCAGATCCATTTATCAATAAAAATCTGAGTGTTCTAACCCTTCCCCACTCTGTCCACAACTTTCAACAAAAATGTTTTTCCTGGAGTTCCACTTTGTGCAGCAGTTTGATTTAAAAGGATGCGTTTTAGGGAGTTTTTGTTTTGCTGTGCTTTGGGGATTTTTTTTTCTGTGCTGTTTTATTTTGTGTATTTTAAAGACCAATGTACACTTTACAGTCCAGTCTCCCACTGTAATCCTATTGTATCCCTTACTTGCTGTATGTGCAGGTGGGATGCTATACAATTTGGTAAGACCCCTGGAGGGAATGATTGTATACTCTGTAAATGTTTTGACTGGAATGATTAGGTTCTTCTCTGTATGGTTTAATCTTGCAGCCACCTGCAATGAGGCAAACCTTTTTAAACTTGGGGTTTAGTTTTGTATGCGAGATATTGAACAATCTTTCGGAAGAAGATATTGGTAACAAGGTAGGAAAACGTTCATGTCATGTGTGGGTATATTATTAGTATGATCATGTGGAATGTGTAATTGAAAAAAAAATAAAAATCTAACGGACTATACTAAAACTAGCCCTGATGTGGTCTGCACAGTCCTCTATAGGAGATTATTCTTCCTGGTTAATAATTTAATGGGTAGGCTTGGCATTTGTAGCAACAGTTTGGGGAAGAGCTTTTTATTTCCAGCATGTCTGTGCCCCTGTGCACAAAGCCAGCTACATGAAGTTATTGTTCAATCAATTTGGTGTTAACGAACACAAGTGACCTGCACAGACAACTGAACATAATAAACACTATTGCTATGAATTGGAACGCTGATTGCAAGCAAGTCTTGTCCAACATCAGTACCTGACCTTACAAATGCTCCTTTGGCCGAATGGGCACAAATTCCCACAGGCACACTTGTAAACAGCCTTCCAAGCACCGTGGAGGCTCTTATAGTTGCAAAGGGGGGCCAGTTCAATACTCCAGGTTTGAAACGGGATGTCCAACAAACTCATAAAAGTGTAATGGTCAGGTGTCCAAAAGATATTAGCTACATAGTATAAATCTGATCCTTCAGCAGATGATGGTACAAATGAAATGGTGTATGACATAATGAACTTTGATTTTAGCAAATCACTTTTTTTTTTTCTCATTTACACATAATTGCAAAACTTATCAAAGTTATTTTGGTTCTGAAGTTTGAAGGTGAGGCTACTTTGCAATTGAGGAAACGATTCTCTAGTGGATACTATTTGGGATTATCGGTCTTTGGTACGACTATCTGATCTGACTTTGCAATAAAATGGTAGTAAGAGAAAAATGCCAGGTAGCATGTGATAAGAATGAGCAAGGCTTGGGCCTTCAGCTCTCAAATACTGGAGCAAACTCTTCTATTTCCTCCTAAAAGCAGCTGCATTAAAAGTAAAAATGTGCATTGTAATAGATATTAAAGTGACATCAAGGCCAAATCCCCCCTTCCCCCACAATGCTAATGTAAGAGGACTCAACTTAAATGATGCTTCTTAATCCGATCATCTTTTTCTCTCCAGGAGTTTTTAGCTGTCCCTCCAGTGCTGGTCTCCGATCCAGCGCTGATTCCTCTGTCCTCCTTCTCTCATGTCCCACGGTGTCTGTGCGGGTGCACGCTGCTCATATACTTACCTTGTGTCTCACCCCGTCTCCCGACCGAACCTCTGAACTGCGCATGCGCCCGCCCCAAGATCCTTTTTGGCCGCCCGATAAATTTTCAGAGGTTCGGACGGGTGCGTGCGGCAGAGACGCAGGTAAGTATTAACCCTTTCAAAAGTGTTTTTTTTTTTGCTTGCTAGCACTAGATATATGCAAAAATATGTGTCTGTTTAAAAACCCTTTAAGGTTTCCCTTTTACACAGAAAACTGCAATACTAGTAAAGGAGAAAACTTTCTATTCATTAGAAGATTCATTAGAAGATTCATATGGGTGAATAGACTCTCTAAGCCCTCAACAGTGGAATTAACCCTCTGTAGTTTGTGTTTTGACTTCTTACCACAAGGCAGTATTGATTGTGTCACTATCCTGCAGCTGGGTTCCCAACAACTTGTCTATTCTGCATGAAGGAAAAGCCACTGGGGGAGCCTAACACAGCTATTTGTCTTTGTTATGGCAGCAGTTGGACACACAGCAGCTGGAAATTCTGGTGAGGATATCTTGACACTGAAGTCCCTGAGATACTCCCTTTTTTCTACAATGCCATGTTCTGTGCTTAGGTGGCCAGTTGTGAGACCCAGGCACTGGGGATTGTGGCAAGCCAACATTGAAAGTCTTTATTTGCATAGGTGTTTACATTTGTCATTGGAACAGGATTAGAAGGTAAATCAATGGGGACATCCGATTCCGGGTGCAGCAAAGGTGGGGAAGTTCCCTTTTACTTTGTGCAACCATATGAGCAGGGCTTGAAACATTTTAGGGTGTCTCATCAGTCAGTCAAAAATTTCACCAGTCAGCATGGCAGGACTATAGCCTTGCAATTTCAACATTTTTTTGGGGACAGATGGAGCTTTCTTTTTGAGATATATAATCACAAGTACCGTAAATGTAAAGAAAAAGGTTTCCCTACGTTCTGTTATAAAACATTTATTCTTACCCATATTTTTGGGTATATGGGTAAACGCCATTGGAGTCTGTACTGTCCTTAACCCCCTCTCCCATGTGAGCGATCAGAAGAATAAAATCTTTGACAAAAAAACCTTAAAGTGCCTGGCGCATAATTCTACATTCACATCCCACAAGCGGCTAAGGCTAACATCCCTGAGGTGAAATGTCGGCCCACCCTGCCCCTGGGGTCTCTTACATGCTTCTGAGGGTCAGTGGGGTGCTACATACATTAAAGGAAACCAGTTATGTCAACAATGCTTGTTAACGGCCTATATTTTCTAAAAGCATGCACCGAAAAAGTACCTGTGCATACTGGTATCCTGCAGATAATTTTCTGTGTGCCATTATGACAAATCGGCTTTCCCAGTTTGACAGAACTCAAGCGATTACAGCACAATCCCAGCATCAAGATTTGCTCAATTTTCAGTCATCAATGCTTTCCCAACAAAAAGAGGAAATGTAATATACAGTATATGATGGTGAACAGTATGTTTGCATGTGCCTCAGTAATTAATATTGCAAACATGACCGGTCCTCCTTTGAATAATTACCATGCTGCGTGCCTCTGTGATTAGCGACTCGATTACCCAAACACGATTTCTGGAGACGGCTTTAATGATTTAATTGGGTCATCAGTAGTGCGATCATATTCCAGTAGCTGCACAGAGCCTCATCAAGCCTTGTTCTGACTTTGGCCAAATTGCTTCTCTTTCTCTTCCCCCAGTAATTGCTGATGAAATGAGGGCTTCGCGGGTACTAATAATCGGCTCTCATGGGGCTTTAGATCGTAACAATATGTCGCTGTAATCCAAGAGGGACTGACTGCCAAATCCTCAGTACAGCGGACGTGAGTCCTCCAAGCCTGGTGCTGCTGGAGGAGGCTCTCTGTAGTAGAGGGATGGCACAAGGGAATTAAAAGAAAAACTATTTATTGTCCTGTGCATGTCTCTGCAGGGGTGCTAGGGACTCGGTGCTACCCCAAATTGTCCCCTTTTTCTTTTTTAATGTATTTGTTAGTAATACAAATATTTACATTTTGCATGTGCACAATTTAATTTGCTCCTGAGCTGACTGCCTAATATGCTTCCAACAGTCAGACAATTGCGTGCTGTATGGATAGTTTTAGGTAGAGGCCCTCATAAAGAAAATTTTCAGGAAAACTTTTAATTAGCCCTTGCAGTGGGGCTACCCCCGCACTGCAAGGGTTAAGTGCTCGTTTGTGTGTCTAGGGACAAAAATAACAAAATTATACTCATCCGAAGCTCCGAGCCGGCCAGTTGTCACAGCGCTTCCTCCAGTCTGTCTCCTTCTCCGCAGCACATTGGAATCTTCCTTGGTGTCCTCACGTCTATGCACAGTGTATAGACCTGATCATTTACGGGACCGCTGCAGAAGAGAGGGAGAGGCAAT